TTCACTTAAAAAATAGGAATGGGAACACAAATTTCACAGTAGCATTTCAATTCAAACATTGTTCACCAATAACTTAATCCTGTGCTTCTGCTAGTCACCTCACACAGGTTAAAAACATATTTCCACAAAATATGGGCTAGGCTAACACATTGTAAGTACTTGTGATACAAGACAGTTAAAAATAAACTCTCGGTCGTTTTGCTGATTCATGTTAGCAGCTTAGCATCAGCAGGTACTAGTGTTGTGGCACTAATGTAAATTCATGCTAATTTTCTTTGAGATCATTCCTTAAAAAAACAGAGATGGAATTCAGTGCCAGAATGATTGTCGCAGAAGTGCAAGAATTAATTCAGTGGGCGGGCGGGGGGGGGGGGGGGGGGGGGGAGGAGTATTACTTATTAGCGCATCCCAGGCATTCTGATTAGAACTAAAAAAGGAGGGCTTTGTCGACTGGTGTACCCAAGCACAGAAACAGTTGTGCTGTAAGCCCTCTTCTGAGCTAACAAACCCCAGCATTACACACAAAAGAGCTCATGCCACTCCATTGGTTCCCCTGTTCCCACTCTCCCTTGTGCCACTGGCAGCAAAACCCTGTGGGGACACCAGCCACTGCTGAAGCAGTGTGAGTCAGATCGACTCCCTATTCAAGTCCTATTTCACCTCCATTTTCTTTCATCTAAGACATAAATACTCTAAAATACAAAACAAGTCTGGTAGCCAGCTAAAATTAACCTCTCTGAACATACAATGAGCTCAAATGACTCCACTCGATAGCTATTCCAGCTATCACAGCCTTTAATAGCTGTGGTATCATATTTATAGACTGCCCCTACTTGACTACTTGACTTCCTGGTCTGAATTAACTCCCAGGCCCTTAGCGGTGAGGCTCAGACACCAGCTGAGTTCACCTCTTCCTCTCATGTGCACAGATGGACGGGACAGACCTCACAGCAGCGATGGGCAAAGAGTCAGACTGATGATCTCTGCCCCTCTGCCTCAGATGAGTTAAGCAAAACAGAGATCTGGTCTTGTCATCCTGGCTCTTTTTTCGGTTTGTTTCATTGTAATTGATAGGTTTTGCTTAAGAATCTACATTATCTGACTTGATGAATTTTGATTTCCTTTATTTTTTTTTTTAAAGCACAAGAACACTGCAATTTAGGATTTCATCAGCAACTCCATGAGTTCATACAATCTACTGGGCATATATTAACTGCTTTGGTAACACTAACGGGACTACAGACTGTTTTGACAAACAATAGAACTGTGGATTTCAATGTCTAAAACTCTCCTGATCCAAAACCACAGGACACTAATAATCCTTAATTGTAACTTCTGAAATGGTAACTTGCAGAATGAAGGGTGTTAGGCTTTTGAGATCAATGACAGTTTCAGAGAACGAGGGCCTTCCTCAAGCAGCCCAGAAGAGATAAGCCCACAGACAAGCTGAAGCAGGAGGATGCTGCGGGGACACCAAACACCTCTTTCACTTAGGTTCCTCCGTGGCCACAGGAAAGCTGCAGAAAATCAAGGTAAGGAAGGTATGGAAGGACTCACTTAAATCAGTGCAGTGACCAGCTGCTGACCTGTGGGTAACAGGAGACCTGATGCTGCTTGAACTCCGCTTTCCATAGATGCCTGTTCTTCATGAAATGTTTGAAGTATAAAATAGCCACAGAGCACTGCTTGAGCAATGGTTCTTCGCAGAGAACAAGGTTAAGGGTGGCTAGGTACTGATCAGCTATGTAAATAAAAATTATTTTATCTAGACAAGGGCTTGTATACACACCAATGCAACTGCTAAGCTCCCAGATGGAAAAAGTGGGACAAAATGGCAGGTGTGCATGTCTTGTGGAAAGCCCTCAATGATTTCACCTCTAAGCAAAATCCAGTCTTTTGTGAGGCAGGACATACAGCTTTACGCCACTGAAACATACATACATCCATTAATTGAGAAAGGATTGTTAGCAACAGCTGCAGTTTGAACCATTTCCATTTGCTCTGCCTCCTTACCAGATACATGGTTCCTTTTCCAGCACATACATGTTGCAACACATTTGAATTTGAATTTTTTGTCTTTGTGAAGTTAACATAAGATGGAAGTCATTGCCAGTACATGACAGAGAAAACCGAGGCAAACGCCCATTTTAAGTCATGTTGCTCGTTGTCTTGGCAACCAGCTAATAAGTGCCGTTACTCAGTTTTCACCAGCACCTGACAACATCTCTGCAGATTTGATATTATTAAGGAGAGTGCAAACTCAGCCCCTTTACAAGGTATCAGAGAAGATCTCGCTAGCATTTCCATTCTGAATTTGATTTTTCAGGGAATTATAAATCATCCATAGATTGTTCAGAAGCTGAATATAGGATACATGAATACCACTGTGACGATCCATTCCCTTGGTAAGAGCACAAGAACAGTGTTCAGATTCAGTCATGCTCAATTCTATATCAATATGTACATGACTTTCACTGCAAACAAGGATTACCCCTCCAATTCCTCAAGAGAAAATACATGAATTATTGCTCTGACTAACATCTTCTCTCACATGTCCTTCTTTCAACACTGCAGGCATATGGCAGGGTTGGCCCCATTTCCTCCAAGCGTCTTGGAGAACAAGTCATACTGTTCATATTTCTGCTGTGTGTATCCTTGAGCTGATTTGAGAAGCATACAAGAATGCACTGAGCCAGCACAGCAATTATCATAATTAAACATGATAATCAAACAGGCTTCAGTCAGTATTCAGACCTCTCTGTACGAAGAGCTGTGCAGACTCACTAAATGACTCTACCACTCCTCGAGAGTAAACTGTCCCTATGTTTGAGTCATACAAATGAATTCAGTCTTGGAAGACTGAAAAAAAGGGCTGTTTAATTACACCCCATTTGACATGCCACACACTATCCCATCACCTGGGATGAATACTTTCCTTGGAGAAGAGGTCACCTAGTTACCCAGAGCCCGCTGAATTTCTGAGTTTGAGACCACAATGTGATATGTACCCACAATAATCTCTTTAACATGTTTAGTATGTGCTGTCAGTTTCACAGGTTGAGCACTCACCAAAATTCAACAACCAGGCACTGTAACAGAAAATATTTTGAAATTTTATCAACATAGGGCAACTAAAAAAATCCCATCCTCCTTGCTATCTATCAGTCATGAGAACTCAAAGGAGCCTCAAGGCAGATTCAACATCAAAGAACCAGAGAGAGACTCAAATCGTGTCCTCTAATCTGTGCCATGGGACTCAAAAAGTGCCAGTGGGCTTTCACACAGTCTGAGAGAAGAAGCTGGTAAAGAGGGTTAGTTTTATTCCTGGATGTTTCTCTTTTTTCCAGGTTTAAAGCTCTCTCAGTAGTCTTTCAATGTAGATTTTGGAACCTTATTGTTTAAAGATTGTGCAGTGCTGAAAAACACATTCATTACTGCTTGTCATAGAGTTGTTGATGAATTCCAGTCACATGCAATTAAGCTGTAATTCAACACAATGACAGACAAAACAGACAAGTCTAGACAAACAAGAAAAAAAACCACAATGAAATATATAATTCCTAGAGAAAAATTCCTAGAAGATTCTATAGTATTGGTTGAAATTGAATTCAAATTTGAATTGAAAAAAAAAGAGGTTCATAATGTTCTTTCATTTATTATATGAAACCTTGTGAATTTAACCATGTGAAACTAGCTTTATTTTAATTCATTCAATGCTATCAAGAAGTAACATCTTAATGAGATGGCAAAAAACATTCAGTACACTGGAGTAATTCAGTCCTGAGTATTGCTTTACCGGTTGTTTTTTGAACCAGATGAAAAGCTATAGAGGTACATCTTTGTCTTGAATCTGGTTCAATAGATACGGAGAAATAATGGCAAAATTTGCTATATCCAATGCTGCAAGAGGAAGAATTCATTACATGAGACGTTTTGGTATTTTATTTAAAACCATCAAGTCAGTGCAATCATGCTAGCAAGCTATCAGGATGTCTTCATCAACTGTGCACAGCAAAAGACCTATGCATGTGAAGTGGCAGTATGACACAGCATTTCAGAGCCCTTTTCACCATGATCCTGAAGCCACAGTTTAGAAGATTTCTCACTTCTATGTTGTATTTGTCAATGTGCTCAAGATCACAGCGTTTTCACCAATGAAAGCAAACTATACTTCTTTGAGAAGTGCATATAATTTTTTATATATGGAGGCCAAGATTAATTTCACACATGCACAATTAGCATTTCTGTTAAAGTAAGGAGATGGTTAAAAAGAAGAGATAAAGAAAAACTTACCAAACTGGATTCCCACGTAACCAGAACAAAATTGAATTTTATACTTCACAAAATTGTTGGGGGGAAGGGGAGGCAAGTTGGTAGTGTTTGTTTCATTTGGTTGTTTGGTTGTTTTTTTTTAAACCTGTGTGAATCTCCTAAAGAAAGGGCAGGCTTGAAGAAAAGGCAGCAGAAGAATTGACTGAGTCTCATAAGCCCTGTAGAGTGCCAGTTTCCTCATAAAAGTCTATGAAAGTTCCTGTGAATAAGGCAGACCCTCCACCCCTTAGGTTTTCATTACAAGAAAAGGTACTGAGCTCTTAAGCCACACTTGCAAAGCAGCTGTGATACCATTTGTGGCTTGGTCAAACTGTAGAGCTAACCTTCCAGGTTATTTTATGTATGTGCTCTGCCTACCATGGGTAACAAGCTTCATTCTCTGGGATTAACTACATAGATTAGTACAATATACACAAACGGTCCAGTCAAAAACTGAGATTCATTTGATTTTAATGGGGCTCCAAAATTAATCACGATGATACATGTCAAGTTATCCTAAAAGTCTGATTAGTTTAATGTTTCAGATGTTTCCTTTTGCCCTAACAGTTAAAAAACATATGTAACTTTCAAGCAATATTAAAAACAAAACAGAGCAAAGTATTCACTGTAAAGATCCACAAAGGAAAATGGGCCATGTAACACTTTGTCAAACATGCCTAAAAGCTCACCTCGAACTTCAGGAGAGAATCGAGCTGAATGGCGAGAAACAAAAAGTTTCAATTCTTGATCCAAGTTGCATTCAATCAGGTTTGTGTCCCATGATCGGATTCCTAAAATTCAAAATACAAAAACACATCTAGCTTGATATATCAGCAGTGGAAAATTTCTCAATTTACATCCAACTTATTTGCATATTTCTAAATTCCAAAACCAGTCTTTCTGTCACACCTCACAGCCATGTTTTGCAAAGTGCTGAGTACCCAGAAGAAGCACTCTGGATAGGGATCAGTCAGAGGCAAGAGGAAATCTACCTTTCCAAATGGCAGATTCCTTTCCTTTTCCTTTCAAGCCCCTGCTTAATGACTGCTTGTCCCACATCCTAGTGGCCACAAGGTGAGAAGTCACTGATGTCCCTGAACTGACTTAAAAATAGCAAAGGACTGATTTACAAAAGTGAAAATGTGAATCGCTCAGGTGACACTGTCCCTGAAAGAAGGACAGCATTACCTAGCATGTGGGGTGGAGCACCTCTCCTACAAGGACAGGTGGAGAGTGCTGGGCTCGTTTGGCTTGGAGAAGAGAAGACTCTGGGGAGATTCCATTGCAGCCTACTATTACTAGAGGGGAACTTAGTAACAGGATGAAGACCAACTTTTTATGCAGTCAATAATAGGATAAGGGAGAATGGCTTTAAACTAAAAGAGGGGAGATTCAGGTTAGAGGTTAGTAGGAAATTCTTTACTCAGAGGGCGGTGAGGTGCTGGCACAGATGCCCAGAGAAGCTGTAGATGTGCCATCCCTAGAGGTGCTCAAGGCCAGGCTGGATGGGACCCTGGGCAACCTGATCTGATGGTTGACAACTCTGCCCACATCCGGGGAGTGGAACTAGATGATCTTTGAGGTCCTTTCTAATCTAAGTCATTCTATGATTCTTTGACTTCTTTATTCAAAAAGCTTTGAAGCACCCAACATTTCAAATTAAAATGTAAGTGATCTTTTATTTATGAAGTATCAAAACTCTAGTTTTGATATTTAGAAATGCTACCCTTGATCTTTTTTCTTTTAGAAAAGATAAACATCACATCTCTGTTTTCTCCTCAGCTACAAAGAAAATGAGACATTTGACATGTGATCATAAAAATACATTTTGGAATCACACATTTTAAGGATTGACATTTGATGAGGAAGGAAGGAGGAATCACTGCAATCAAAAGATAAATTTATTTTCCTACTGTACAATTTTAATGGCTATTAAAAAAAAAAAAAAAAAAAAAAAAGTCACATTAACAGAATACATTTTAATACTTTTCCATAGTTTTCCTGTCAAAAACAATGAGCAGACAGTTGCACTTCAGGTAGGTCCAGACACTGCTGTAGTTTTGAACACCAACATTGTTGTGATTTTTGCGTTTTTTTTCCCTAAGGGATTGTCTTGAGACTTATACAAATTAGGTAGCAAATGCCAAATGAATTGTGGTTGAGGAAGCATCTGTTGGCCCCTTCCCAGAAGCTTGGCCATGTATGTGCACGAAGGCTTTGGGTGAAACCACTTTGGGCCTTGGTACTTCTGGACAGGAGAAGCCCTGAAAAGGCATGTGGCCAACTCCTTCCACTGTGCGACCAGTACTAGCACTTCTGCTGGTAACTTGATCTGGGTTTAATGCTGCTAACTTTCCTGCCAGCACTGTCTCCCATGCTTCCCTGCAGATCCCTCTGGCAGATCCCATGTTGCAGGGCTGAAGGATGAGGAGGAGAAAGAACAGAGAAACCAGATCTGCTCTCTGGTCTCCCATTGCAGCTCTGAGGAAGCTCTCCATGCAAATACAGGTATCTGCATTTCAAGAGCTTTTTCAGGGAGAATTCACCAAGCACTTGTTCCTTGTCAGCAATCCAGTCAAAGTGTCTCTGGGATATTCTCAAGGTAGATGCAATATTAAGCTCTAAAGAGATTTGAAAACACAGTATCATCGATGTTTCGCTACCACTCTGAAGTAAAATAATGGAACTATCATCAATCACTTCTGCTTCCTGACTTAAACATCATCATTCAGAGGCATGAGCAGTGACTCTTCTGCAAGCCTCCTTTTTTTTTTCATTTCTCAAAAATCTCTTGGCCATATGGTGCATTTTCGGGGCGTAGTTTTGGCAGGCAGACACAGCTCAGCAAGCTTTAATATCTTCCAGGTGTTGGAATATTTGAGAGCAAGAAAGTGAATATGATATATTGCTGCACATGTACAGCACAGATGAAATATATGAGTAGTGAACTGATGCCGATCACGAAGTTGGAGTGCACTGAGTGTTGAACCTGAAGAAGCAAGAAGACAGCAGCTCACTGGCCTTCAACAGCAAGACTGCGTGGGAAGGCTGCAAAGCTTTCTGGAGGTCAGTTAAGCAATATGGACTATGATTCAGCACTGCTGCTAATGACAGAGCCTGCCCACCATCCCAAACCTTTTTTTTTTTTTTTGTGTGAATCAATATTTGCAGTGGGCTATGATTCTGATTAGGCGTAGTCATACCACTGAGCCCATCAGAGTCCAAAATGCAGTAGTTGGTGCAAAATGACTAAAAAGAAATGCCTAGACATGCTATCCACAGAGTCTGAGAATGAGATTTGGGTAGAATAGGCCAGATTTGCAGATGCATGAATCAGCATTTTGGATGCAAAAATTATACAAATACCTTAAAATGTAGCATAAATGTATCAAGAATGTTATACCACCAAATCAAGTTTGGATACAATGGAAGTAAATCTGGAACAAAAATCCAAGGTCAATCCAATGATGTGTATTATTATCAGCATGGAAGAAACCACTGGGAGGATGACTGAGCTGTAGCTATTTCCTTCTTTCTGCAGTCTCTGGAGCACAGCGCCACTAGACACAGGGCTAATCAGACGGCAGACAGGGCACACCCAGCAGCATCTGCCAAATCAGTGGAAAGATCCTGAAGCTTCCTCCTCACTCCCCTCTTCTTCTTTACTGGGTTGGAGGACTGCCCCCTCAGCAAAATGGCATCCCGAATGTAATTACTGAAAATGCAGCTTGCCAAGCAATTCCCACTTCATGATATATTAAGAAATGACTCTGCATTCCACCAGGTTACGTAGCATCACGCCACTGATGTCCTATCAGGAGATGTTTTCGCTGGCGTATTGCTCTGCAGTTCAGTGCATGAATCCACACTTTTCTCTGGTGGTACTTAGGAGATGCACCAGAGAAGACCTTGAGACAGAGTTATCAAGAACCCTAAAACCATTTATGGCTTTGATGAGGACAAAGGTTGAAAGAAGCCAGTTTTTCCCAACTACACTGCACTTCCCAAAGAGAAAGATTAGTCAAGCCCTCAAATAGACAGACCTTCAGACTCAGAGTGTACTGATCCAGAACAATGCACCCCAAAATCTGACCAAGGTTTTTTTCCTAGCAGGCAAGATCCCAGACAGATCATCTGACACCAGGAAGAGTGAGATGACTCTCCCATCTGAAATGATGAATAAAAATGCCAAAGCGTTTCCTTTGAATATCTAAAACTGTAAGCAGGTGTTACGCTTATTGGCCGGCGATAGCAGCAACAGAGCTATGCAGCAGCAGCTGTACAATAGAAGCTTCAAGAAGCGACTGAAGAACATTTCTTCTGAGCAAGGACGACATCAGATGTCTTTACAGAAGTTTTATCCATTTGCTCTATAAATTGCATCAATTTAATTGAAATTCAGCCAATTTACTTCCAACACAATCAACAATTAGTTAAAATGAGAGAAGCGCAGTGCTGAAGAGGCTCTGAATGACAAAGCATCTGCATCAGTAGTTCTCCCTAGGAGACAATGGTTGCGATAAAGATCAACGGGTCTTGGTGAAGCTGGTAAGCTGGGATGAGGCAGCTCTTTACCATGAACAGCCACAAAAAAGAACCATGAAAAATCGCCAACTGCAGCAACAAGGGTTGAGAACACAACAATAGAGACAAGCGAAGTCCTAGCTGGAGTGCTGAACCACACCTACATGCAAGGCTGCTACCAAATCCCGCTTGCAGGCTCCCTCTCTCCTTTTTAACAATAGCGTATTTCTGATTTTTGCACTTTCATCAGCCCAGAACAAGGTATACACTGAAAAATCACATCTTAAGCTAGTTTGGCTGAACTGTGGGGTCCACCGATCATTTCCTTTGTGCTTCATACCACTGTTATGGCAACAGGGCTTTTCGCCTCCCCATGTACACCGCAATATCCTTTATTAGAAACAGCATCAAGAACTTACAGAACTCAGTCATTTCACGTGTGGTACCTTCACCTAAAGCCGCCTTTGGAAAAGGACGAACGAGCAGCGAGCCGCAGCAGCCCGAGCTGGACAATAACGGGGCTGGGCACTCACACCGCAGCCTAGTTACCGCATCTTTTTATTTCTTTCAGCACAGGGGTGGGCGTGTGTCATGCTCGGGTCCCGAAGGATTCTGCATCGCGCTGCCGAAACTTGGGCACAATGCGCAGGGATGGAGCCGCAGCCCCGCGGTCGCTGGGAAAACGCCCCATCGCCGCCGGGCTTTGCGGCGGTGCGACGGAGACGGCGATGGGGACGGGGACGGGGATGGGCTGCAGCCCCCACCCAGCCCCTTCCCCGGCGGCGGCGGCGGCGCGGGCGCCCTTTGTCCGCTCCGGGCTGCCATAGGGACCGCAGTGCGGACTGCGCCACGCCCACCCGCCGGTGTCTCCGGGCAGACAGGCTGGGCGTCCGCCGCAGCCCCGACAATGGCGCGGGGCGGGAGCGCGGGGCAGGGGCTGCGGGCGCGGGCGCGGGGCGGGGGGACCCCGCGGGGCGCCCCGGGGTGCGGGCGGGGCCGGGATCCGCGGTTAAAGAAAGAGAAGCGCCGGCAGTCGGAACTGGGCTGGGCGCTCCCCCGCCCCGCAGGGGGCAGCGGGCGCGGCAGCACGGAGCCCCCCGCCGGGGCGCCGCGGGCAGCGGGCGGGGAGCGGCCGCCGGGGCTGTGCGGGTGGGAGGGGGCGCCGCGCTCCGTGCGCTCCGCGCGCTCCGCGACGCCGTCTCACCTCGTTCGATGTTGGCGATCGCGCGGCGCAGGTGCTCCTCTGTCACCAGCTCGCCGATGACCACCAGCAGGTAGAACTTGCTGTCCAGGAAGCGGTGCGACAGGCTGGGCGAGGGGGCGGCGGGGTTCGGGAGGCTGCAGGAGGGCTCCGAGTCCGCTTCCACCACCACGGTGGCCATCGTGCCCCCCGCTCCGCCCCGCGGCTCCGGGGCGCTGAGGGGAGAAGGAAGGGCCGCTCGGCGGCGGCTCCGCAGGCGGCAGGGAGTGAGGGCGGGCGGGGAGGCGGCCGCGCTTTTATACGGAGACGGGGCAGGGCAGGGACCTGCCGAGGAGGAGGAGGAGGAGGAGGAGGAAGGGGGGGAGCCGGCGCATCCCCGCCGCCGCTTTTCCAGCATCCACGGCTGATGTCATCTGCAGCAAATCCTCCCCGCGGCGGCCCCCGGAAGCAGGAAGGACGCGGGGTGCGAACAACGCCCGAGGGTCGCCGGCGGACCCCAAAGCCCCGCGGTCTCGCAGCCCGCGGCCCTCGGTGGTTGAGGCCATTGCGGGGCTCCGGCTGCGCCCGGCCGGGCGGGATGCGGCTCCGGGACCCGGCCTTCTGCAACGCCCTGCGGTGCTGCAGCGCAGCTCCGTAACCCTTGCGGCCAGCAGGCTAAGTGATATTCTTACAGCTTGCTTAAAAAGATGCTTCAAACGTAGGGCTCCTGCGTGCCTTCAAGGTGCGTGGGTTTGCGACTCGCCCCAAGGGTCTGGATAGGGTGCTTCTGGCAGTGGACAAGCAATGAGAAATGGTAGTGCTAAGGCCTCGGAATTTCAAAGGGCTTCAGTTGGCTCCTTTTTACCACACTCAGGCAGCACCAGTGGTGCTGGAAAACACCTTCCATCACAAAAGGAAAGGGTGGGTTCCTCAGGAAAGCCGTGTGAAAGCCAGACATCTGCTCTCCTGTGTTCACCAAAACCCCTCAAGACGTAAATTCAATTACCATCTAATAGTGTTGATCCTCCCCTAAAACTGGATGGAGTGCTGTGGGATAAATCAGCCTCCTGAAGATGTTCCTCTCACCTTACTGACAGAAGCCAGGTGCTGGGTTACACTAAGCATCACTAGTGTGGTTGAAGTGATGTGGGACCAGGGAGAGGATGTAAATGTTGATAGCCTGGTTTGCAACACAAGCTCTGGTTGCTGGCTGAGGAGATGTCAACGTGCAGCTCCTTGCAGCACTCATTGCTCCCATGCCCGGGTGCGCCCTGGTTACACTCCGTCTCTGCTTGGAGGAACCCCAGCTCTGCTTTCTTAGAGTAAGCACTTTGCTTTGGGGCACAGTGCAGTCATTCTAATTGACAATTAAATGACTTGTCATTTAACTGACAATCCCAGATTCTCTCTGCCCAGATCTCAGACTGAAACTCTGTTATTCCAGATGCTGGTCCATAGCATCATCTATGCTCACTATACCCAGAAGCTTTAGAATAAGTAGTTCTGCTGGTATTCAGCACTGAGGCTAGTACAGCACGATGTGGTTAGATGCTGCATCCAGGAGAGACTTTTGCTGTGCTGCTGTACACCAAGGGCTGCAGGCACTTTTACAGCCACATCAGGTGGCTGAGATGGTGGTAAGAGCAGCACTCCTCCTGAGTTAGGGCTGACACTTGTCATAGGACAAATGAAGTCATGCAGATGCCCAAAGACTAGTAGCATTTCTCCTAAAACTGGCACCTCTGTTCTATGGTGCTTCCCTGCTGAGCCTGGCAGTTTCCATTAGACAAAGAACACAGTTTAAGATGAATGCATACCTGCTTAGCAGTGATGCTCCCATCCTGATAGTTTGTATTCTGCATACAGGTATCCCCAGCATTTTGCCACACGGTGCCCACTAGTGCCAGCTCCTTGCTTCTCCCAGCGCAATATGTGGCTTTGGGGCATATGTCTGGGCCAGTCACTAACATGAGCATCTGACCCCTGGTGTGTGGAAGGTTCTTCAGGGATCTGCTCACTGCTTGCAAAATGTGGGTAGTCATTCCCAGACATATTGGTAAAACGACAACCTGTCTCACAAGCACAGCAGGCATTATTCTTGGAAATACAAGCCAGTATGCAAAATGCATTATATTTCCTTTTTAGCACTTCCTTTTTTTTTTTTTTTTAAAGAAAAAGTGAAGACATACACATCTGTGGAAAAATACATGTAGGTACACAGAGTAAAAGGCTCAATGAATGTACTGAATCAAAGAAGAAAATGCTGATGTACAGGTAGATGATACAGTCGTACCTGAAAAAGCCTGCTGAGGTACTTCTCTGTTCTATGAGGATATTGCACAGTAAAGAATGTGCAGTAGAAGCATTGTGTGACCACAGGTGGAGGGTTACAGCCAGTCCCTGTGATGATGGAGATGTTTCACATATTAAACTCTGAGCACCAGTGCTGCCTTTGGGAGAAAACGGCCTTGTGCTACAAGAGATGTAGACCTCTGCCCTCATGTTTTCACCAACTTACATCACTTCATCTGAGATAGAAGTCAGACAAGAGAAGATGCTTTAACCCCATGAGTATGCCTCTGAGAAACCTGCAGGCTCCCAGCTCCATGGCCAGTGGGCACACTGCGACTGGCCCTGCTGGCCACTCCCGTGTCTGTTTGTTTTTATGTATCTGGAAACCCATTTGTATTCTGCAGTATGGAGCACATCAACAGATCTGCTGCTGGGTGAAATGTGGAGATGTGCTGTGTAAAGCTGACTCAGTGTCATGTGACCTTCCGTGTTTGAAGTGATGTCAGCTTTCTGGCTGCAGCTAAATCACGTAAGTATGCCACTTCAGTGGTGGAAGGAGGACTATGGAGGATGTCTTGCTGTTTTAAAGGGACAATGATTGATATCCTGTGTTCTCTGTCGTCTTGTTTGCTTCGGTTCAGTTTTGTTTCTCCAGGGCATTTAATACCAGGTTGGTATCCCACAACTGAACGTAGTCAGACATTGCACATAAAGCTGTATTTTTCTTGTGGATATGGTGTCTTCTAAAGTAAACAGATAGTTTTAAATAAAGCACTTGAAGTCTAAAACTAGAAGACACTTCTTGGTGGTGCTCATCATTTGTTACCCACTAACATTCAGGTTTTGTTCAAGTCATATCTTCAAGCTTTAAATGAGATGTCAGTGATGCCCAAGCCCTCAGGCTGTCCCTTTGACCAAGGTCAGATGTCACCACCAGCAGAAAATAAATACACGTCCATATAAGCTGCTTCAGACCAATTTAAGAACCTAACAGAGTAGCTCAGAAGGCTCTTTACGTAGTCTCTCTTCACTAAGTAAAACATTAAGCTGAAGACTGCAGAACATGTTATGAAATGGGTTCGTGAAGTGGATGGTTTTTCATAAGAAGAGGCAACACTGTTTATTTTGGAAATTAAGTTTTGCCAGCCTACAGCAGAGGCTGCAGAACCAGAACATAGAGCTGTGCCCCTCCGGCCCAACCCCTGCCCCAGCAGGGACACCCACAGCAGAGTAGCCAGTGTCTTCCCCAGGTTACCTACTCCCAGTGCTCCCCCGTGTGTGACTCTATACCCCTCGTGCCCCCACAGCAGCAAGGGCTGTGTGGTGCACTGCACCCACTCTGCCCAGCCTTCATGTCCCAGCCTCCTTGGAGTGCTGCTCCCCACCACAGCTCAGCAGTGATGGCCTTAGTGGCACTGACCCTAGCCAGCAGAGCAGTCTGCAGGAAGCAGGTGTGTAGCTCTTGCTTCCCCCATCTGTCAGTCAGGAATAGAAGGAGTCAGGGGCAGTGGCAGCAGAGAGAGCTGGGAGAGCATCGAAGGACTCCAACTCTGGGAAAGACATATTAAGAGGAGACATTGACTTCTTAGTATGGTGAGCCTTGCGCTGAACTACATTGTAAATAAAAACTACTTGGCTGACATTTATTTCAAGTAATTTAAATTATATTCTTCCATTTTAATTACTATTTTCTACATAGCAAAAGCAAGAAGTTTTCATATGCTTGTGGTGAAATACCCATTTCAGATGGTATTTCTACTGTTTCCCATTCCTCCCACTTTCCCTGAAGAAAAAAAGTGAAGGAAGAAGAAAAAAAAAACATTGCAGAAGAAAAAAAAGTGAGGAAAGCAACACTGCTGCTTTTAAAAATAACATTTTATCTCACTTTCGACTCTCTCTCCTGAAGTGAGAGAAAAATAACACCAAGTAACATTTTGCTGTAGATTCCAAATGCAATATATGTATGTGATATATGTGTGTGTGCGTGTATGTATGTTCAGAGTAATTTTCCCCTACTTGTTCTGTGGAAAAGGAAAAGGATAAAAGTAAGGAAAGGAGGGAAATGGAAATATATTTTATTTCACCAATGAGAAAAAAATGTGAGAAAAGGAATTTCTTCCTGACTGTTAAAAAGAACAAATCAGAAATTAATTATTTTGAATAAAATTATCCTCCTACATTACAAAAAACTCATAGTTTTGCATTCAAAAAACATGTGTTCTGCAATGAGGGGAAATAAGACAATCTTAAGTAATTAGAACCTGTTCACTGGTAAGGGTGACACTTAAAATTCAATGATAGTTGATAATAAGAACATTAAAAGTGATGATATCCATTGTACTACATAGCTGGATGTATAATTAAAATATCACCAACAAAACTAATGGCAAGAGAATGTAAATCAGCATCATGCAGTAGATTTTTCTATTTAAGCAGCTCTAAGCCCTGAAGAACAAGAGAGAGGAAAACGATCTGTTGGTACAGGAAGTGGCTCTGATTTACAGGAGTGAGTTCTGCTGCGTTTTTTTAATACTTGTTGAAGGACATCCTTTGCCTTCTAAGGGCAAAGTGCTGTTTGTCGTGATGACACCATCCTGAGGAGCACCGCAGCGTAGAGACCTAGCATGTGCTTCCTTCCAAGCCTGCTTCAGAGCTCTCTCTTGACTGGGCTGAGAGAAGAAAAACAAGGCTCAGGTTTTGAATGACAACATCTGCACTGTCATCCACTCAATTTTGGGACCAGCTGGAAGCTGAGGACTCCCATGAGCTGGTGCTGGGCACCGTGCTGCCTACATGCATGCAATGCTGTAACTCCCTGCCTATGCTGCAACCCTTCAGGGGCCCTTCAGGGGGTTGTGAGTCTTCTTCAGTGTCAGCCTTGTTAGTTACTGCAAGCATGGGCAGGAAGGTAACAATCTGCATATTCTTTTGAACATGCCATAGCAGAAATGCCATATTACTACTGTTTAAAGAGGAACAGGAAGCAAGAATTCTAGGTGAACATTATTTCATCAGCACATTGCACAGGTCCAG